TGACAGGGGGCAGCGCCCAACCCCCTGATTGGCCCTGCTCTGTGCGTGACAGGGGGTGGTGCCGCAACCTCCCCATCGACCCTGCCTTGAGTGTGACAGGGGGCGGTGCCCCAACCCCCCAATCGGCCCTACCCTGAGCGTGACTGAGGGTGGCATTGCAACCTCCCGATCCGCCCTGCTCTGTGCATGACGGGGCGGCGCCCCAACTCCCCAATCGGCCCTGCTCTGAGCCTGACCAGGGGCTGCACTTAGGGATTGGGCCTGCCCTCTGCCACCCAGGAGCAGGCCTAAGCCAGCAGGTCGTTATCTCCCGAGGGGTCCCAGACTGCGAGAGGGCACAGGCCGGGCTGGGGGACCCCCCCCTCCCCTGCCCTCCGAGTGCACAAATTTTTGTGCACCGGGCCTCTAGTCTATAATAATAAAAGCATGATATGCTAATTAGACTGGATGACATTCAGGACAAAGCCCGGGCCCTGCAGAGGGAAGCTGGAAGCCGGGAAGGAAGGCCTACTCTTGCACAAATGTTGTGCATCGGGCCTCTAGTTTTGTTATAACATTGATGAGATGCCACAGTGGCAACTTTTTTTTCATGTCCATTGGCCTCCAGTGAAGTGGGTTCTGTGTATTCTGGGGCCCCCAGGGCTCTCCATGCCGTTATTGCCTGCAGGTGCCCCGCTGGCCACCAGATGGCAGGGCAGCTCCACCCTCGCCCCGCCTCAGCGCCCCTTTTGTCCTGGATGACAATCATTCCAGAAAAGTCTTTCCAAAAACGTCTCATTTCCTCTTTATATATTCTGCTCTCTATTAAATAATTTTTTAAAAGCACCCATTAGGTCACTAGAGACCTTCTTTAGGTTCCTTTCATGAAGATCAGAAGGAAAGATTTTATTTATTTTAAGTATATTTTTATTGATCTCAGAGAAGAAGGGGAGAGAGAGAGAGAGAGAGAGAGAGAGAGAGAGAGGGAGAGAGAAACATCAATGATGAGGGAATCACAGATCAGCGACCTCCTGCAGGCCCACACTGGGACTGAGCCCGCAACCCGGGCATGTGCCCTGACCGGGAATAGAACCATGACCTCCAACCACTGAGCTACACAGGCTGGGCCAGAAAGATTTTCAATTTTTTTAAGTAGTTTCACTAGTTCCATCTAAAACCTGTTCCCATCACAGCACCCTGTTGTGGGTCCCACTGGCCAGTCCAAGGCTCGGCAGCATCTTCCTGCTTTGGAGTAGTGTCAGGCACCACAGGTGGCGCAGCCTCGGTCCATGTTCAGTCCTGTCTCGCTGCTCTGAGTCGGGCTGATTCAGAGAAAGACACCGTCCTGCACGGCACTCAGCGCAGGTTCCTCCTGCCACAGGCTGGGCTCCTCCCGCCGCTGCCCCCTGCTGGCCACGCCTCCGGGAGCCACGCTCCCCACCGCGAGCCACGCTCTCCACCGCAGGGCACTACACGACGCTCTCTGGCACACGCGTGTGTCCTCTCTTTAACTTCGCCTGCTGCGTGTGCTCCTTCCCTTTTGTTTTCGCTTCTGAGCACAGCTGTGTGATGTAGTCCATGCAGCGCTTAGGACGGGGCGCTGGGAGAAAAACATGTGGGAGGTGAGCATTTATCCTGGACAGCACCGCACCCTTTATTTGAAACACTGCACGCGGTATGTTTAGGTCCAGATGTTAATGTCTTAAAAATTGAATCTGAAATGCACAAATGCATATAAATGATCTGAATGTATTGTTATAGTCTAACTTTTAAAAGGTCTTGTTAAATAAAAATGACACAATTGAAATACAATATATGGACATTTCTGCTACAAAATAACGTGTTGCTGGGGAAAATGCATTGTCTTCAGCAGAATTTCATACTGTAAGTAGCAGGACTTCTGGGAAAAAGAGTATTTGGGGCTGTGCCACTCTGCACTCAGAGGCGGGCGGCCCAGAGGGCATCTCAGAGCCTTCGAAAGTGCGCCTGCACTGGCCGGGCAACCCTGGGGATGCTCTCTAGGCCAGTGGTTCTCAACCTTGGCTGCACATTAGAATCACCTGGGAATCTTTTTAAAATCCTGATTTCCGGGCCTCATCCTCCGGAAATTCTGTTTCTCTGTTACTAATGTTGTGGCCTCACCCCATAACAAAGAAACAGAATTTCCGGAGGATGGGGCCCAGAAATCAGGATTTTAAAAAGATTCCCAGGTGATTCTAATGTGCAGCCAAGGTTGAGAACCACTGCTCTAGGCAGTGAGCCCTGAGCGGAGCCCTGAGCGCAGGTGCTCCCACTAACTTTCCTCAAGGTCGAACTGGAAGGCTTCTGCTGGCTCAGCCGCAGAGCTCAGGGCCTGTCTTTCCTGCTAAAGGCTGCAGCTCCACTGTGTGGTTTGCCTGCTTAGGAAAACCGGCAGAGGAAGCAACACAACTTACACGGAATCCTGGCATCATTCTCCCACTTGCCAGACAAGAGTGAGGAAATTGATGTCATAGAAACATGGGTTGCAATACAACAAACTGTAGCTCACACACATTTCTCCTCCCACTCTCAGCTCCCACACAGCCCACTCCGACTAGTACAGCTACTTCTCGCCATTTCACACCTGACTCAGTCAAAAGGAAAGAAGGGCAGAACTGCCATAAGACACGCTTCCTACAAAGCCCTCCACACAAGGAACAGAACTAGCTGCAAACCTCATTGCATTTCTTGTGACTCTTAGCTGGCAGAATACATTAATTTGCACAAAGAAGCAAAAGGTTAGAAGGTATAAGATTCTCGCTTTATATTTTCTTCTCTCTATTGGATCTTTGTCAAGACTTCTCTCTCTCTCTCTCTTCTTTTCTTTTAGACTGTTTCAAATTTTTCTTTACATATTTTGCTTGAGGAATTGCAATGAAGTCATCCAAAAAATCAAACATATTTCTATTTGAGTTGGTTAGGCCTGTATTCACTTATTCAACACAAATTCAGCACTCCATTGTGCCAAGTCCTGTGCTAGGATCCGGGGATACAGAGTAAATCCAGTTATTCACCACCTGCAGGAGAACTGCCACGGCTCATTCAATTCCCCAAAATGACACGGTGTTATAAGGGGCTTCCCTGGGAAGGTGTCCATAGGGCAGTCTGGACGCAGACGGACATGCAGCCAGAGCTGGGCATGCGCGTCAGGGAGGACGCGGCAACGGCTCCTGGAGTCACCAGCTACATGAACTTAACTGCCAATTTTCCTCCTTTTTTAAAATTATTTTTCATTTTTCAAGATGCACTTCCTTAAGTTCTACAAGATGATTCTGGAAGTCGACTTTCTAGTCCTAAAAATCAAATTTTTATTTTTGTGCTCCCCCTTAAGCACAACAAATCAATGAGCCTCATTTTTCAAACCTCCGGTCACATGGTTGACTTACTTTGGCCATATTTCTCCTGGGATGATGTTTCTTCATGATTTGACCTCGATTTGTAACTTTCTAGAGTGTATTCTGAAATTTCACTTTCTGCAAGAAAAGAAACCAAATTATTAATTTCAGGCGCCACAGGCATCATCTACATGAGAAACGTATGTTTGAGTAACATGATGCCTCTGTTTCTGTACAGCAGTGGAGTTATCGTTCCTCTCCCAGACCTCCTGTCCTCATTCATTCAGCCAATCTTTTCATTGTTTGCTCTGAGTCCCACAGGTATGTGGGAGGTGGTATAAGAATTGTAGAAGTCGCATGACAGCAGCTGGGGCTCAAATGTTTTCCTTTGGGAAAGAACAATCAATAGCCCTTAAAAACTGGGAATGAGGCATCCGTGGGAGATTCTGAAACAATACGATGACACTTCCTGTTGTGCAGGTACACAGAACAGCCAGCCCCTGCTTCTACGTCTACTCGTGGGATTTTGCCTGGAGATACAATGAGTCCTCTGTCACATATGTGGCTAAGTCAGCATGTCCAATAGCAGGATAGCACAAGTCTCACATGCAATTTTAAGCTTTCCTGTAGCCATGCTCAAAGAGTAACATGAAGCAGGTGAAACTGAGTTAGTAATATATTTTATTTAGCTAGTAGATCCAATATATTATTATTAGATATGTGGTATTCTTGTGTGCGCGTGTGCGTGTATGTGTGTGCTGAGCCTTCAGAATGGGGTGTGTGTTATCCTTACAGTGTAGCTCAGGAGGGACTAGCCACAGCTCAAGCGCTCAACAGCCATGTGTGGCCACTGTGCTAAATGGCACAGGGCTAAGAAACTGCTCAGAATTAAGGAGGGGATTTAGTCCAGACACACATTTATGGAATGAATTGAATCGATGGGTTATTCTGGATAATTTCTAAGGTCCCTTCTCCCTCTGATAGATGTTGAGTCCATGTATTTTAACAGGTATTTTTCTATACTAGTTATCTATCTAATCTAATAATAGACAAACATGGTAATTGACCATACCTCCACTATGCTTCCCATTGGCTAATCAGCAGGATATGCAAATTAACCAACCAAGATGGCGGCCGCAGCCATGCAGCTGAAGCAAGCAGGAGGCTTGCTTGCTCCAGTGATGGAGGAAGCCAAGCTTCCTCCCTGCTGCGGCCGGGCTCTGAGCTCCACTCTAAGCAACAAAGTTGCAATTATAGAAGCTAAACAAACCCCAGATACCTGCTTTCAGCAGGCCCTGGGCTCGGAGCTGGAGCAGCAACAAAGTTTCAATTATAGAAGGTAAATAAATCCCAGAATAAAAAAGAAAAAAAGAAAAAAAGGAGAGGCTGGGAGCTTCCATCGCCGACTTGGCCAGCCTAAAAACAGCCTTCAGCCCCTCATCCAGACTGGCCAGGCACCCCAGTGGGGACCCCCATCCTGAAGGGGGTGTGACCAGCTGCAAACAGCCATCAGC